ATTCATTTATCTCTTAGATACAACTTATTATTTTCGCCTTTATAGACAGTAAGAGCAAAATACCTTAAACTGCCTTATGCGACGAGTTTCAAGCCCGCATACGTATGTATATTGCCTTTGCGGTTTGAACGGTCTAGGTTCCAATCCGCACCAACGCCCCGTGTGGACGAAATTCGAAACTGTACTTTATTTGCGGCTGGAACGCCCTAGGTTCCAGTCCGCGCCTATTTTCGATTGCAAAAATTTTTTCCGAGGTTGCCACTTGGGCGGCTGGAACGCCTTAGGTTCCAGTCCGCGCATATTTATCGATTTAAAAATTTTTTCGAGATTGCCACCTGAGCGGCTGGAACGCCCTAGGTTCCAGTCCGCGCCTATTTTCGATTGCAATAGTTTTTCGATATTGCCACTTGGGCGGCTGGAACGCCATAGGTTCCAGTCCGCGCGTATTTATCGATTTCACAAAATTTCGAGATTGCCACCTGAGCGGCTGGAACGCCCTAGGTTCCAGTCCGCGCATGCGCTGTAATTGTTAGATTTCATGTTCAAGGTGCGGTCTGAAAGCACAACTTTCTAAGCCGCACTGCTCGAGCGGCTGGAACGGCCTAGGTTCCAGTCCGCGCCTACGCTTTGGTTGGCGAACATCATAGTTTAGTTCCAGTCCGCGGCTATGCTAAGAGTTGGCTTAAGTACGGCTGATACGGCGCTGTCTCTCTAGGTCCCTCAGTTCCTTCAAAATCGAAGTTAGTTTATCGCTGGTTGATGCCCATTCGCTGGTTCCTTTCACCATATAGTCGACTACTGACTGTGGCGTAAACACCCCTCCAACGGCAAGTTTAAGTTGGTTCATCTGCCGATGGAAACGAGGGCACTCAAAGAATACGTGGTGGACATCTTCTTCCACGCCACTTAGACAGAAGTCGCAGTAGGGGTCGTGCTCATGTTTGAATTTAAACAGGTATGCCTTAAAACAGCCATGACCACTCAAGAACTGGCTCAGATAAAAATCTACTTCGCCATGCGTTCTATTAAGCCAGGATACCAGGTTTGGTATGCAGCGATAGGTCCAACGACCTTTAGTCGTACTATTCCACCTGTTTTGCCACTCCGTAACGCTGCTTTGCCGGGCTTGATGTCGGTCTAATTGAGTTAGAGTACGCCGCGTGGATACAAGGACCGTTGATTCTCTTGCTAGTATATCTACGGGTATCATACTGCCGATTACGAAAGCTGCTTCGTCCGACACTGTTCTGAAGGCGCTGCAAACTCGGAGCGCGCATAAACGGTATGTTGAGTTGACTCCGCGGAAGTATGCTGGACACTGTGCATAGATACGTATGTGCATAGATACATATATATGTAAGTGTCCGCATATATTTTTTCTCGTCACTTGTTCTGTCGCTTCACTGCAGCAAACCATGGGTTCATATTAAATATATTTATGTATGCATGGACATATGTACATATGTTAAAATGTAGTTTCGATTTAAAAAAAATCGGATGAAGTTTTTCTTTCGCCATTCATACACCTCTAATTTCAGTATTTATTAAAAAAATTCAATGAAATTCAAAAACTCTATCTTGCATTTGGGTTTACTCAATACCAATTTGAGCTGTCGCAGTGTTATCAAAAAAAAAAGCTATCAATAGGTAGGTTCAGAAGGCGCAGCAGTTGAGCTAAACAAAAATCAGTGATCGTTATGCGTCTTTTGAACGACTTCATACATTAGCTGTCAAATTCAACTCTCAAAGGTACACACCAACATGTTCTCTCAAATGATCAGAAAAATATTACGA